TCACTTCCGCGTAATACCGCGCTATGTTCGTCTGAACAAACATAAACCCTAAACCCTAATCAACCCTAATCAACCCTAATTAACCCTTAGAACAATCAGAAACCCTCATGAAACCCTTATACACACTTATACACCCTCATTTACGTTCACTTCCGCGTAATACCGCGCTATGTTCGTCTGAACAAACGCATTTAAACCCTAAACCCTAATCAACCCTAATCAACCCTAATCAACCCTAATTAACCCTAGTCAACCCTAATCAACCCTTAAAAACCCTAATCAACCTTTAAAAACACTAATAAACCCTCAGTCACGTTTACTTCCGCGTAATACCGCGCTATGTTCGTCTGAACGCATATAAACCCTAAACCCTAAACCCTAAACCCTAATCAACCCTAATCAACCCTAATCAACCATAATAAACCCTAATAAACAATCAGAAACCCTAATGAGCCCTAATAAAACCTAAGAAACCCCAATAAACCCTAATAAACCCTAATGGAGCATAAGAAACCCTAATAAACCCTCATTCAGATCAATACCGCGCTATGCTGGTCTTATAAACCCTAAACCCTAAAACCGTAAACCCCAGTAAACCCTAGGAAACCCTTTTAAGCCCTAATAAGCTCTAATAGACCCTTGGAAACCCTCATAAACCCTAATCTACACTAAGCAACACTAATAAACACTAATAAACCCTAAACCCTAAACCCTAAACCCTAATAAACCCTAATCGACACGAAGAACCATAATAAACACTAGGAAACACTAATAAACCCTAATAAACCCTAATTAACATTAATAAACCCTCATAAACCCTCACATGCCTTAATAAGCCCTAATAAACACTAATAAACCCTAATAAACACTAGGAAACAGTAATAAACCCTAGAGAAACCTAATACACCCTGATAAATAATAATAAACCCTAATAAAACATATTGACAATCATAAACCCTCAAATAAAAGAAAGCTAAGAAAGAAGCAAAGAGAACGAGATGAAGAAAGATACACGCCAACACCACTCAGAAACCCTAAACCCTAAACCCTAAACACTAAACCCTAAACCCTAAACCCTAAACACTAAACACTTCTTGGGGCACGCAGAGAGGAATCAGCTTGAAAGACACTTAACAGGAAGCTCAATGGTGGTGAGGAAGCAACAAACCCTAATCTGCTGCAGCGAAGACTAGGGTTTAGGGTTTAGGGTTTAGCCGCTGCACGGGAGAGGGTTTAAGCTCGCGGGCAGCACAGCGACCGCGAGGGTTTAGGGTTTATGAAGAGGGTTTAGGGTTTATACTCACCGTTGTACTCGAAGACGAACCCGACGGCTTCATTTTAGCAAGAGAAGATTTAAGACTGGGGAAATTAGGTGTTGCTGCTGCTGCTGCTGCTGCTGCGGTTGCTGCTGCTGCTGCTGCTGCTGCTGGCCGTGCTGCTGCTGCTGTTTTTAAACCCCTCACAAACACCAAAACATGCATACAAAGAAACTACAAACCCTAAACCCTAAACCCTAAACCCTAAAACCCTAAAACGATAGGAATGGAGGGGGAGCCGTGCGGCAGCAAAAACGCAACAAACCATAACCCCAGCACAACAACCCTAAACCCTAAACCCTAAACCCTAAACCCTAAATGCAAAAATGAAAGACAACTTAAACAGAAAACCCCTGAACTCAAAACCAGCTTCACCACTACTCTCCCCCCAGGCAGCCCCGCAGACGCCGAGCATGCACCCAGTCAAACCCTAAACCCTAAACCCTAAACCCTAAACCCTAAACCCTAAACACTAAACCCTAAACCCTAAACCCTAAACCCTAAAGTGGAAAGGCTTAACACGAAATAAAAGTCTTATAACTCTCCACTTAAGAAGCATTTTACTTGCGATTAAACAAGGAAGAACCCAGGCAACCCTAAACACTAAACCCTAAACCCTAAACCCTAAACCCTAAACCCCAATATTTAAACCCTCATTTCTGGGGGTTAAGTGGAGCGCCTTCGTTTTTAAATATAAATACAAAATTATTTAAATATAAATCAACAGAAATATCAGAGTATCTGACAGAGACGCGCTGCAGCTGCTGCTGCTGCTGCTGCCCACGGTGCTTCTGCTGTTGCTTTTGCTGCTGCTGCTGTTATTGCTGTTGTGTATGTTGCTTCAAGTGCTGCTTTTGCTGTTGCTGTTGCTGCTGCTGCTGCTGGTTGCGCTGCAGCGGCAGCAAAGGACACCCTTGCTGCAGCTCCGCTCCTACGGGGACGAACCCTAAACCCTAGCTAGCTGCAAACCCTAAACCCTAGGCGGAAGCAGCAAACCCTAAACCCTAGGCGGAAGCAGCAAACCCTAAACCCTAGGCAGAAGCAGCAAGCCCTAAACCATAGCTAGCTGCAAACCTATGCACACTTGATAGAATCAACAAACCCTAAACCCTAGCTAGCTACAAACCCTAAACCCTAGGAGGAAGCAACAAACTCTACAGGGGATTAAGCTGGAAACTAAAGCG